CCTAGTAAGGTTGTTTTTTAAAACACCTTATGAACTGTGGACAAGAAGGAAACCTAGTCTGAGGCATCTTCACATTTAGGGCTGTCAAGCTGGAGTGAGGATATATAATCCACATGAAAATAAATTGGAATCCAGAACCATTAGTGGTTATTTCATTGGATATCTAGAAAGGTCTAAAGGGTACATGTTTATTGTCTTAATCATAAGTACGAGAATTGTGAGTCTGGTGATGCTCGCTTCATTTAAAATGGCAAAGTCCGTGGGAGTGTAGGAGCTCGTAATGTTGAGATTAAGGAGTCATTGATGGATCCAGATTCATCAAGTGATCCTTTTTCCTGTTGTTGTTCCTATTGCTGCAGTGTAGCCTTATGGAAATACTTTGGAACAACATCAACTAGATGCTCAAATTCCACATGAGGAAGCTATTGTAAATGAAGATGAGGTTGAAACTCAAGATGATGATCAAGTGAAATCTCAGCAGGAAGTGGCATTAAGGAGATCTACTATATAGAAAAGATCAGTCATTCCTAATGACTATATTGTTTATGCACTTGAGCATGAAAGTGACTTGAGCATTGATAATTTCAGTCTCATTTAACCAAGCCATACAGGATAATAATTCTCCTTGAGAATTATTTTGGCTTTGGTGGCTCATTCTGTTCTTGAGCTCCGCCAAATGGTTGTTAAAATTGCCTTTCTGAATGATAAATTAAAAGAGGAAGTATACATGGATTAGCCGCAAGGCTTCATGGTCACAGGAAAGGAAAATATGGTATGTAGATCGAAGAAGTCGGTCTATGGATTAAAACATGCTTCTAGACAATGATACTTGAAATTGTCATTTGGTTTTGTAGAGATCACTGTTGATCGGTATATCTACATAAAGGTTTAATGGAAGCAAATTTGTAATCCAAGTATTACATGTTGACGACATTCTTCTTGCTGCTAATAATAAAGAGATGTTGCGTGATGTTAAGGAATATTTTTCTAAGAACTTTGAAATGAAGGGTATGGGTGAGACTTCATATGTGATTGGAATAAGAAATATTCCGTAATAGATCACATGGGATTTTAGGTTCATCCTAGAAGACTCACATTAACAAAGTTTTAGAAAGATATAAACTAGAAAACTGCAAAGAGGGTCATGTGATATTTACAAGGCACTAAGGACCACATGCTCACCTATAAAAGGGAACGAATAACCTGGAGGTTATAGGTTATTCGGATTCAGACTATGCCGGATGTTTGGATACCCGAAAATCCACATTCAGATATATTTTTCCACTTGCTCATGGAGCAATATCTTGGATGAGTGTGAAGGAGCCTGTCATTGCTACTTCCACTATAAAGGCAGAATTTGTAGCATGCTTTGAGGCTACAATTCAATCATCATGGCTACGTAATTTCATTTATGGTTTGGGCATTATCGACACTATAGCCAAACCATTGAGGATTCATTGTGATAATACGGCAACTATGTTCTTCTCAAAGAACGACAGATATACTAGTGGTGCTAAGCACATGGATTTGAAATTTCTGTCTGTTAAAGAGAAGGTACAAAATCAAAAGAGTATCAATAGTGCATATTAGCACCGATCTTATGATCACGGATCCATTGACTAAGGGATTGGCGCCCATGACCTTCATTGGCCATGTTGGAAGGATGGGCATACTGGTAAAGTCTTTGTATAACGGTTAACTCTGCCATACATGTATGGATTTATGTTTGATAGCACATCAGGTTGATGATACTCTTAGATATCTATTCAGGTTTTGGTTTTGTTATGGTTGATGTTGATCACTTATTTATGCATAATTCAGAAGTGATAACAATGGTCTTGTTTAAGACATAAGGAATAAGGTACTTTCGGATTTTACCTTATTATTATGGTTCGAATTCTTATTAACTGTGATACATGGAAGGGAGCGGGACACTATGTCGGGCCTGTAACCGCCATGATTCGGTTAATAAAGTTCAATAAGGTGGTGACTTTTACATTTTCATATTAAGTGAGCTCAAATTAAGGATTGAAAATTGTAAAGTCACGCATATATGAATCAAGTGGGAGATTGTTAGAAATAATTTATTCCTAACGTTGATTCATATAATTAAGGTGTCATGCTTATATGAATCAGTGGGAGACTGTTAGAAATAATTATTTCCTAACAATGATTGATATAATAAAGGTCGTAATTCCATAAGGTACTCACGTTGATGATTAGTGATGTGTAAAGGCGGAATTACTGGGTGAAATTCCCTTCCTCTCATTCTGTTAAAATTTAAGTTTATAAGGGTTAAAAGATGTATAATGGATAAGGTTATGGGTTTCACAATCCTAAAGGGATTTCTATTCCTGAAAAGATGTCACATTCCTAAGAAGATTTCTATTCCTAAAGGAGGTTCCCCATTCCTCTTGAAAGAGTGTTTCTCATCACATCTATAAATACCCAGGAAAACTCTAGGGATCTTAACAGTTCCAAATCTCTAAGTTTTCTAGTCTCCGTATCATCAGGAGGTGATTAAGGTATACGGATCAGAGAGGTGGAGCATTATATTCTTGATAATCTTCAATGGAACCAAGTAAGTTCTATCTTTTCTATTTAATTAAAAATCCATGATCATGAACATTGTTTAGTTGATTGATTTAATTTACATGCAATCATTGTTAATTGTGTTTCCGCATTCAAGTTATAGTGCATAAAGGTTTATTTAACATTTTAATCTAGTATTGTGAATTAGACATGTTACATCTGTGTGTTTTCATCCAAAAAAAAAAAAAAGAAAGAAAATATGCAAAATGATATCTATAGAATTAGAACACCACATTATTTACAGCTTAGAAAAAAAAAAAAAAAAAAAAAAAAGAGAAGATAACAGACCTCCTGATCATGGAAGACATGTTGATGGTTTCTTGCAAGATCTTTGTAATTTTTTATTTTTGCTTTGTGTTCGGATAAGGGATGAAGGCTCTCTGTATCTAGTATATAGATGTGCATGTGTGATGTGTTTTTCTCCCTTGCTTTCAGTTACAACATACTTTCGCTCACAGTGCAACCTATTTGCTTTCGTGGTCTGTTGAGGATGAAGCTGAGCCAGACATCTTGTTCGATGATTGTAGAGAGCTGTAATTTATTTTTTTGGATGTGTTTGCATAGAGGCTGATGTCGCTGAATATGTATCTATATATAAACATCAAACTGAGGTGAGGTAGTGGAACTGTAATAATGATAGCTATTCAAGCTTGCGTAAAAAATAAACAAACTATCAGTGAAAATCTAATAGGCCACTCCCCTAGCCAGGTTAGTTGAAACCACACGCAATAGGCCACTCTTCTACAGATATGGCTTTCACGAAATTTGATTGGCTGAAATCTTGTGGCGGTGCATATATAGATTAAAAAAATCAAAAAGGGGAAAAGGCCTTCAAAACTTTGAGCGAGAATTTACACCAAATGTGTTTGACTTTTTTATATATAGGATAGGATAGGATATAGGATTCTACATAGATTTAGGTATCACAGATTAAAGAGAAGCAGAGGAGTTTGCAAATGTGTCTTCTAAGAAAAATTAGTGTAATTGAATACCTGGAAACAGATGGCGATACATTGAAGATGATCATATTTCTTTTTTTATTTAAGTTACTTCTCTGTATGTTTTTTTAATTAAAAGTATTTTTATTATTATAAAATTTTTGTTCTTCCATGTCAAATTACAGAGTTAAAGAGAACTTTTTTACAATAATAGACATGTATTTATATACGGTGGTGAAATAAAACAATCTTTTGAATTATCAAGAGTTCATGATTTAATTTTCTGTATAAAATTCATGATCTACCTCCAATTATTATTTTAAAAAGGAAAAAGCCTTCTTCCAGAGACCGGAACTGTCTTCTTCCCGAAGAAGGCAGTGCATTTGGGTGTAAAAAGTCAAATGCATTGTTATTTTTGACTTGATATACATACATAATTTACTAAGCTTAATTACCCTATTAAATTAATTAATTATAGTCCAAATTTTGAGTAACAATCAAGAAATGCTCAGATTAGCTTTTTATTGTGGCTTTGGGCATTATCACATATATAATTAATGACATATCAAAATATTATTTTAACTCATGCATAGTGCACTAAAGTTTTAAATGGTGCATCTTAAGTACACAAAGCACTCACCTTAAACATTATCTGTATATTTGTGTTTTCTCAAAACTATTTACTCCGTATAATTTAATCTTTTGTTATTAACTAATTTTATAATTTTTTTTTTACATATTTAAAATTCATATCAAATATAGCATTTATAATTAAAATGTCTTTTAAAACATAAAATTAATAGGAATTCATTTTTCATTCAAATAATATGTACAATAAGCTAGAATGTGAAGGAAAAAAAAAAAAAAAAAAAAGGTGAGCACATCTTCAGCATTCAAATGGCGAATTTTAAGTACACAAATCACGCACCTTAAGCACACAAACAAAGCACCCCCTCCCTGCTTGAGAAGAACTCATCCTAAAGTTTTTATGTAGTATTTCCTTGATCATACTATTGCGTACAATTTCATTTATTGTCCTTTATCACTTGGAAGAGACTTGCCAACAAAACTTTCCAACAAATGGCTTTAACACTAGGTTTACTAGCCTCATGAAAGTGTTCTTACTTGTCACCCCAAGATCCAGACGGAATTACAAATTTTGTTTTTGATAAATGGTGCCTGCGCCAATTTGCCACGATTTTCCAAGCAAAATATGACAAGCATTTGTATCAACCACTTTGCATATCACAGAATCTTTATAAATTTCAATAACTAATGTATTGCCCTTCGTTGCTCCATCCCAACTTGTAAGCTTAGGAACTGGTTTCGTGGGTAGTCCGAGATGATGCACAATTGCTGCAACTCCCACTATTAATGAAAATATTGCACACCTTTTCAAACATGTTGTTGTAGGTTCAAGAAATGATGCTTCATTGATTATCTATGTCTCCATTATCCTTAACAACTTTGTCTTTAGAATCATAATTAACATTAATTATTCCCAGCGGAGGATCATTCTGCAACAATAATATCCCATCAACTATCTCAACAGATAGACAGGTGGTAGTTGGTCCTTCACAAGGTTGACGGTTGATGTCACTCCACTACCATCAAGCCTTAGGCTTATGTTGGCAAGAAAACACTAAAAATTTCTTGAAACTCAAGGTTAACATTCTCTCTATATGCTTGAAAAGCTGCCCGAAGGTCGTCCATTCCATAGTCACTGCAAATGCATTAGTTGCTACCCTCAGAGTTGTTTCCATTTCATGCCATTTTGGGTCCTAAAGAATAGAGAGGATCATGTCACTGTCTCCAGGAAGAACTTTAACAAGAGAAAACAGGAAGAAATGCAAAAAATACAATGATACATGACAAACTCAGAGTTCACAACAACAAAATCTTGTTTAAATAGGAATCGAAAGGAAATAGGGAATTTGCAAAAATATTGAAAGCTTAATCTCTTTTAAAAAATAAGACAGTAAATATTAGTTATGGAAAGTACTGTACTAAAACAATTTCAGTGAATTAGTGAATCCAACTTATTTTGGGAAAAGGAAATCAAACTACGGATGAAGCAAATCTGACCCAAAATAAAGTAAAAATCTTAGCATTCTCACATCCCAGTGGCCAATAAAGCCTGAATGGAACCCGTAGCATTCAAGAAAAGAAAACGCATTAATCAACGCAATGTTAAGAAACCAACCAGATCCCATTTTGAGACCATAAGAGAAGTTACCTGTGCGTGAAGATGAAGAAATCATATAGGTTCAGCAATCTGTAAACAGAAGGAATCTGTGTGTGAAGAGGAAGAAAAGAAAAGAATACGAGAAACCATCAAACAACAAAGGGAATCTTTGAATTGAAGAGGAAGAAAAAGAGAAAGGGGTGTCCCCTCGCAGCAGAATTGGGGAATATAGCAAATCAGATCAGATAAGGGATTGGGAAAAATAAATAAATCTATATCTATATCTATATATTCTATATATATATATATATATATATATATATATAAAAGTAAAATCCTCCTATGTGATTTTCCCGCTCAAACTTTTATAGTCAAATTAATGAAATATTTTATTGGTCAAATTAATAAAACTTATTTGGTAAGCAAATGTAAAATGAAAATGTTATAAAAGCTATTAATTGGTAATCTATCTATCATCTATCTATCTATCTATCAATATAATAAAGCAACAACTTTCTCCTACACATTTTTCCCGCCCACACTATACTGTGTCATTTTATGTGAGTATATAATATAGCTACTTTAGAGTCGAATTGAATGTGTTCAGATGACTGTTCGTTTTCCAATGTCAACCAAGTACAATAAATACAGTTCTATTAATGAAAGACTTCTAATGATAAGCTACATATATACACCTGCATACATATAGATAGACGCGCATAACTACAGATAGACACATACATATTTTACATCTGTATATATACTATTAAATGCTTCGAAACAATCATCTATTCATTGTGCTCTTGGAAACTGAAAGGTCTCCAGCAGCCTTCAGGTTTCCAAGGTATTTTTCAAATTTCGAATACACTGTTAGCCCTCTATATAAACCTCTCTAAACAGCCTTTTGCACTAACCCTCTGGGTGTTTGCTATTCACTACTTAGACTTTGCCATCCATATGATATAACTGGCTCCATTATTCATCTTAGGGAAGGACACCTGCAGAACTTGAAGGCCGAAACATTGAGGTAATGTTTTCTTTACAAACCTGCAAACAATGCATTCATATTTAGAAAATAATATTTTCTTTCTTTATAGGCACATATGTGCATGTAAATATTCCTAAAGACTATGTTTACTTGGTTTCTTTTCTATTTCTTTATCTAATTTGTTGTATTAGACTCTATTGGTATCTGTGGAGGATACTGATGAGATGAAGGAGCAGACTCACAAGGAGATGGGAAAGATATACACTTACAAAGGTATACTAATTGTCAAAAGCTTCTTTTTAAGGCTGTGGGCCTGTAAAAAAAAAAAAAGAATTCTGTGAAACTGAAAATCAAATGAGGTATCAAAATCTATCTATCTATCAATCTATATTACTTAGAATTTTATTAATATTAACTGGTCAGCTAAATGCATATGGCAGTATGATTTTATTTGTTATTGTAGGTGTATTTTGATGGAAAGGACATAGATTTTTGAGGTGTAAATCCTGTATAAAATCTCTATATATATCATGCATTCTTATAACAGTACTTTATCATTTCTGCATCAAAAAACTGTTTGTTTTTCAAATGCACTACTGGAAAGTAGAATGAAGAAATTAGAGAAATCTATTACTATAGTTGCCAAGAGAACAAAAAGCTGAAGATAAAGGTATGTTTCCAGATTATATGTTAACAAATAAATATGTTATCTGTTCATATTTTCCTTGAGTAGACTAAGCGTTGCTGATTTGCAGCCTATGATAGGTTTTAAAATTTGCCTTGCCCTAAAAAAGGTTAGGACAGATTGTAACTTAGATCTTGCACTTGAACAGGACAGGGTGAGCAATAAAACAGGATATGTTCATCGTATGACGCCACCCAGTTGTTGTTCAATCAAACTATACCAGAAATTGAGATTTTCAGGGAAAGGTATGATACTATCTTATTATTCAATTCCACAGTCAGGCATATTCTTAGAACTAAAGTTTTTATTTTTCTTTTCTCTATGTAGTCTTTGTACTGAGCAGACTCCATTGAGGAGTATCAACTCATATTCAAGCCTGATTTATAGTCTAATTGAAATTTTTAGCTCTTATAGTATTCTAATAACTTAAATAAGTGATTTATAAGGTTTCTTTTCTGGAGAAGAGGTTGAAAGTCCAAGTCCTGGACACTATCAGGATTTCTAAAGAAACTTAAAGTGAGGTTGTGAAAAGCTGCCTATTGGACGATTAAATAGTATGAACACACATTATGCATAGTTGTATATACATAGTGCAAAATGTATGATCACACTGGGACAAGTACGAATCGTATATATTAAATCTTTTTAGAAATCCAAAAATTTGTTTATACTATCATATGAAAATCTGTTGTAAACAACTGAATTATTGAGAGTAAATCCACCAACAACAAAAATGATGGTTTCCTAATAGTAGTTATTTTTATGCTATTACTATGTATATAACAAGGAGGCAATGTTATTTTTGGTCTAAAATTTGCGTAAATATTGTATTATCATGTAATCTGGAAGGAATAAACTTAATACTCTGCTATTCATATTGACCTAGGGCGAGATCTGACATATGATGTTTATGTTTTTCAGATGCATGTTTGGATAACAAAAAGTTAATGGCCATTTGATAGGGATGATCTTTTTTCATTTCTAAATTTCGTTTACTATTTATATATTCATGTTTGGAACTATATAATTTGATCGTAAAGCTTGATTCATGCTACAGACAAAACTCTATTAGTTATGGGTAAGTTATTGAACTAATTTTTTTGTGATTTACTTTCTGCCCATGGTTGTAAGGTCTACCCTGTGGTATTTTTCAGTCATACATAAGATTTATAAAGCATCAATGGTGCAATAATAAGAATAGTAGTTAGATTTACCTTTGTTTTGGTCAAGATTCTTCCTCTTAGACCCAATAGTGATTGAAGATGTAATTTTCCTCATGGTGTCTTCAGAGATTTATTATACTGACTATATGTGTGGAGAAATTGTTGTGAAAATGTTTTCTGATGATGTATGGAGACCCTTTTATAGTTCTTAAATAATAATAATTTTAGATTGAGAGAGGAATGTCATCAGTTTCTTGAAATCTATGTCTTTATTTTAAATCTTGGAATACTATGACTTTTATGTGTGCTATTTATTGCAAAGTATTAAAATAACTAATTTGACTTTTATGTGTGCTATTTATTGCAAAGTATTAAAATAACTAATTTGTTTTCACAGTTTGAAAATTCATCATTTCAGAAATTTTGATTTACTTAATTTTAACCATGTTAAGCATGAGCCTAAATAAGTCATATTCTTATGTCCTTTTCCCATTAAGTGTTACCGATACTTGAAAACTGGCAGATTATGCATATTATTGATAATGTACATCATCTTTTATTTTTTAGTTGGTTATAGCAGTGTTTGAATCATGTTTACCTTATCATTTATTGATAAAATTTCTTTTGCAGATAAAGTTTAAGAATACTCAACACAGTGCTGTGGTAATAACACCTCAAGAACGTGTGAAGCCAATTCTGCAATTGTAAAATCACATGTAACCATATTTTTTTATACTTATAATTATGCACTTGTTGTTTTTTACTGGGCTTTTTGAGAAATAGTTCTTTAATATTTTTCTATCAATTAACTTATTGATAAGTAAGTTAAATATGACTATACTTTTTGATTCACTTGATTTATGAGGTTACTTATTGACTAAGAACTGTTTTTTAAATATTGTGAACGACTGCTTAGGTCCATTAAGTATTGGTTTTAAAAAGTTTGGTATAAAAAGTGATTTATAATTCTTAGTTTGTGTAACAAAAGACCAAATGTGATTTATTTTGATTACACTTTTTTTTTTATATGAAAGTGATTTTGTTTATGTGACTTGTTGGTTAAGAACTGTCTTTTAAATATTGAGAATGAGTGCTTAGGTCAATTTTGTATTGGTTTTAAAAAGTATGGTGTAAAAAGTGATTTATTATTCTTAGTTTGGCTAACAAATGACCACATGTGATTTATTTTGATTACACTTTTTTATATGGAAGTGATTTTGTTTATGTGATTTGTGTTTGCTATGAGTATTAGTTTTCAAGCCTATTTCACAATGTTATATTCAGATAAGTCATTTTTAAATCACACAAAATATATGAATGTGATTTTGTTTATGTGACCCAGCATTTGTTTTTTCAGAGTATTGATTTTCATGGCATGCATCTGCAAACTTATATTTAGAATTTTACTTATAGACTAACTTGTGAATTTATGATTTTTTGTATGAAGATAAGGGTAGAGTTCTGTATAACTATCTAACGATTAGTTGAAGAAGTACAGAAGACTTTAGATCAAAAATGAAGTTTCATCATATTTCAGAGGTACATAATATTACTATTCTCCTTTCTAGGCTAACTATATTTAGTACAATAAATATTTGACATTCCCTATTACACAATCCTTATTAAGTACATACACAATCTTCTAGTCATCCATTTAGAACATCATCTTCTATGTTTGTCATTAGGAAGGTGCTCCACTACATGCAAAAAAAAAAAAAAAAAAAAAAAAAAAAAAAAAAAAACCAATGCAAAACAGTGTACATATGTAAAGCATGTTGCAATGAAATAGTTAAGTCTTAATGCATAATTTGAAATCTGCCCACATGCCCATTATCCTTCAATGTCTATATGTAAGGCATATAGACATTGAATAACAGGCATCAATGTCTTTCAACCAAAAAACCTACTTAAAAAAGTTTTACAGGCATCATTGTCTGGTAATAGAATTCTCCGACCAAAAAACACAGAAATTCAATACAACTTAGTCCAATCCTTCAGTCTTTTCACTCATTACATATCTGCTACTTTCCCAAGCTTGACAACATGCTCCTTAGTTTTTTTGGAACTCTGGTTACTTGAAAATTCATCAGTAGAGACCTCTTTACTGCTCCACTTTCGGCCAGTTTGTTTGAATTGAGTTGAGTTGAATTGTCAACAGGAGCACGTTTCTCGATAATTGAATAGTAGACCAAATACAAAAATAGTTGAATGAAAAATAGCAATAATAAGAAAAAAATACTTACCAAACAACGCCTTGTCACTGTCTAATCCCCTTCAAACCCAAATAAGTCTAAACTTATTCTTTAAGAGTTGGAAATTTCATGTGGGGAAGAAGTATTCTTAAATTTATAGTTTTCAAATAGGTTAGTAATGTTTCATGTGTCATGCATAGTGTCAATCTATTTGAAAACAGGTCAAACAAATATTCATCAGAAAAATATACATATGATTATCTAACATCAGAAAAAAAAATGCTACTGGGGCATTTATATCCAGTAATAATAGCACATTAAAACCAACTTTATTCTTTAGTCTTTTATTTTAAAGAAATAAAAGAAAAAAAAAAGTTTACCTAAATATCAGTAATTGTACTGATAATCATTCAGCCATTTGTATAGTCGAAATGTACAGGTTACGGCTTGCTTTTCATATGTTCAGAGTTCCTGCATTGCATTGAACTATCTGGACAATTTTTCCTTTATTTTATCTACAAACATGATAAAATCCAAGAGAAATACTAAAACAATCCAATAACATAAATATACTAAATGATTGAAAATAATCTGCAATTACCAAATCAAAGTCTTCATCTCCATCCTCTTCAATCATCCTAGAAATTAGATTCTTTCTTGTTGCATAATACACTATTTCCATGTAATCTAACCTAATTAATAATATTGCCTCTTTGTTATATACATAGTAATAGCATAAAAATAACTACTATTGGGAAACCATCATTTTTGTTGTTGGTGGATTTACTCTCAATAATTCAGTTGTTTACAACAGATTTTCATATGATAGTATAAACAAATTTTTGGATTTCTAAAAAGATTTAATATATACAATTCGTAATTGTCCCTGTGAGATCATACATTTTGCACTATGTATATACAACTATGCATAATGTGTGTTCATACTACTTAATCGTCCAATAGGCAGCTTTTCACAACCTCACTTTAAGTTTCTTTAGAAATCCTGATAGTGTCCAGGACTTGGACTTTCAACCTCCTCTCCAGAAAAGAAACCTTATAAATCACTTATTTAAGTTATTAGAATACTATAAGAGCTAAAATTTTCAATTAGACTATAAATCAGGCTTGAATATGAGTTGATACTCCTCAATGGAGTCTGCTCAGTACAAAGACTACATAGAGAAAAGAAAAATAAAAACTTTAGTTCTAAGAATATGCCTGACTGTGGAATTGAATAATAAGATAGTATCATACCTTTCCCTGAAAATCTCAATTTCTGGTATAGTTTGATTGAACAACAACTGGGTGGCGTCATACGATGAACATATCCTGTTTTATTGCTCACCCTGTCCTGTTCAAGTGCAAGATCTAAGTTACAATCTGTCCTAACCTTTTTTAGGGCAAGGCAAATTCTAAAACCTATCATAGGCTGCAAATCAGCAACGCTTAGTCTACTCAAGGAAAATATGAACAGATAACATATTTATTTGTTGACATATAATCTGGAAACATACCTTTATCTTCAGCTTTTTGTTCTCTTGGCAACTACAGTAATAGATTTCTCTAATTTCTTCATTCTACTTTCCAGTAGTGCATTTGAAAAACAAACAGTTTTTTGATGCAGAAATGATAAAGTACTGTTATAAGAATGCATGATATATATAGAGATTTTATACAGGATTTGCACCTCAAAAATCTATGTCCTTTCCATCAAAACACACCTACAATAACAAATAAAATCATACCGCCATATGCATTTAGCTGACCAGTTAATATTAATAAAATTCTAAGTAATATAGATTGATAGATAGATAGATTTTGATACCTCATTTGATTTTCAGTTTCACAGAATTCTTTTTTTTTTTTTTTTACAGCCCCACAGCCTTAAAAAGAAGCTTTTGACAATTAGTATACCTTTGTAAGTGTATACCTTTCCCATCTCCTTGTGAGTCTGCTCCTTCATCTCATCAGTATCCTCCACAGATACCAATAGAGTCTAATACAACAAATTAGATAAAGGAATAGAAAAGAAACCAAGTAAACATAGTCTTTAGGAATATTTACATGCACATATGTGCCTATAAAGAAAGAAAATATTATTTTCTAAATATGAATGCATTGTTTGCAGGTTTGTAAAGAAAACATTACCTCAATGTTTCGGCCTTCAAGTTCTGCAGATGTCCTTCCCTAAGATGAATAATGGAGCCATTTTCAGGTTATATCATATGGATGGAAAAGTCTAAGCAGTGAATAGCAAACACCCAGAGGGTTAGTACAAAAGGCTGTTTAGAGAGGTTTATATAGAGGGCTAACAGTGTATTCGAAATTTGAAAAATACCTTGGAAACCTGAAGACTGCTGGAGACCTTTCAGTTTCCAAGAGCACTATGAATAGATGATTGTTTCGAAGCATTTAATAGTATATATACAGATGTAAAATATATATGTGTCTATCTGTAGTTATGCGCGTCTATCTGTATGTATGCAGGTGTATATATGTAGCTTATCATTAGAAGTCTTTCATTAATAGAACTGTATTTATTGTACTTGGTTGACATTGGAAAACGAACAGTCATCTGAACACATTCAATTCGACTCTAAAGTAGCTATATTATATACTCACATAAAACGACACAGTATAGTGTGGGCGGGAAAAATGTGTAGGAGAAAGTTGTTGCTTTATTATATTGATAGATAGATAGATATGTAATTTAACTGTGTATATTAATATTCTTTTTTAGGATATTATATAATGTTTCATTATTTTCCAAAGAATGGACAATGTTGACATCTCACTGTCTCCAATTGAACAAGTTTATACATCAGAATTTATCAATGCATGAAAACTTCTAAAGAAATTTGTAACTGATTGTCTAAATAAATACAACTTTTGATTTCTCTTTACTTAAACCAAAAGAGATATAATTTAATTAGTTATACTACTAAATATGTTTAACTTGGCAAATTTTTGTATGGACCATGAATCTTATAATACATTTTTAATATATAATATTTTGTATTGTTTATTTACTGAAAGTAAATTATTTAATAGTATGCTCGCAATAATGTACATATTACTTTTTTGACTCTATGTACACCACAAATTTATTTAATGGTATTAAATTTCATATCTATTTTTCATTTATGGTTAATGCGATTGCGGGCCGATTAAATCTCGATTGTGGGCCGATTAAATCTCGAAGACAGTTCGTAAAAGGATATGAGAAATATTTTTCTATCTCACACGTGAGTTATGTACGTAGCACTTTGAAGAGTAAGTAATCTAAGGAGATTAAAAATTTTGATTGGTATGGATAATGGACAATCTATAACTACGACAAAAAATGTTGTATACAATTCTTTTTTAAATGTGTAATACACTTTCATTGTTAATTGTTATTAAATAATTTACTCTATATAAATTTTCTTATTTTTTTTTATTATTATGTTATATTGTTTAATTATATTATTATTATTTACCTTCAAAAAAATATTATTATTTATGGCCGTGCACCGCACGGGTACAAATACTAGAATGATAGTTTGGTGGAACAACTGACTGAAGAGCATAAGGCAATATATGATAACGTATTGGACGATGTTGAGAATGAGGTTGGAGGATTATTTTTTGTGTATGGATATGGTGGTACGGGTAAAACCTTCTTGTGGAGAGCATTGTCTTCCGCTTTGAGGTCAAAGGGTGAGATTGTTATAAATGTTGCATGAAGTGGCATAGCTGCTCTATTATTACCAGGGGGAAGAACAGCGCATTCGAGGTTTGCAATACCAATCGCTGTTAATGAAGATTCTACTTGCAATATCAGTCAAAGCAGTCCGTTGGCACACTTGATCATGCAATGTAGGTTGATCATTTGGGATGAGGCCCCAATGATGCATAAATTTTGCTTTGAAGCTTTGGACCGAACTATGCGAGATCTACTGCATGTTCAAAATCCAAGAAGTTTTGAAATGACTTTTGGTGGGAAAACCGTCGTGTTAGGTGGAGACTTCAGACAAATTTTACCAGTAATTCCAAAGGGCACCAGGCAAGATATAGTGGGTGCAAGTATAAATTCATCATATCTGTGGAGAAGCTGTAAAGTATTTAGGCTTACAAAGAATCTACGGCTTAGGGCATTGCAATAAGAGTCTGGAGTTCAAGAGATTGAAGAATATGCAAAGTGGATTGCTGATATAGGTGACAGAACTATTGGTGATTCATTGGATGGAGAGTGTGAGATCAACATTCCAGATAAATTCTTACTCAAGTCGGTGGAGGATCCTATTTCTACAATTGTTGATAGCATATTCCCGGGGTTTCGTACTGGAAATAGAGATGTCAAATATCTAAAAGACTGTGCAATTTTGGCACCAACTTTGGACGTGGTAGATAACATCAATGAATACATGAATGAATATAATACTGCCGAAGGAATGACATATCTCAGTTGTAATTCGGTATGCAAATCGGATTCCAATGTGGACATGCTTGCTGATCTACACACACCGGAGTTTTTAAATGGATTACGATGTTCTGGAGTGCCAGATCACTCATTGACTTTAAAAGTTGGATCACCCGTTATGCTCATGAGAAATATTGATCACTCATTGGGGTTGTGCAATGGTACAAGGATGATCATTTCAAAGTTGGCTACTCATGTTTTAGAAGCTCAAATATTGACCAGAACAAGTGCTGGTACAAAGGTGTTAATACCAAGGATGTCCATAACACCGTCAGATCCAAGATTGCCTTTTAAGTTTCAAAGAAAACAATTTCCGCTAATGTTGTCATATGCCATGACAATAAACAAAAGCCAGGGTCAAACATTGTCAAACGTCGGTTTATTTTTGAAGAGGCCGGTTTTTAATCACGGACAACTGTATGTAGCGGTGTCAAGGGTTAGTAATACTAGCGGATTAAAAATGTTGATTTGTGACGAAAATGTACAATCCAAAAATACGACTACAAATGTCGTATATAAAGAAGTTTTCAATAATGTGTAATAAAAGTCACAGTTCATCCTATTACTTTTAATGTAAGGCCTTATATATTATTTCTTAGATTTATGACCGTGCATCGCACGGGTGCAAATACTAGTCTATATATATATATATATATAAATAAAATCCTCCTATAACTTTTTCCCGCCCAAACTTATTGGTCAAATTAATAATAAATCTTATTTGGTAAGTAAATATTTAATGAAAATTAAGTAAAATGTATTAATGGGTAATATTGCATAATTATAGTATCTCCATATTTCCGGTTAAATGACAGCAAAAGATGGCATAATTGGCCCTGTCCGTTACAAAATGAAGTACCATCACTTCCTCCGCAAGCTCATGAACACCAAGCCCTCCCACGGCCCCATCCACTTCCGCGCACCATCCGAGGGTAAGTCTTTGCTCTCCAACTATCCTTCATCAGTGTGAAATGCATTTTTGCTATTGGAGAATATATTTTTTGCGAATTAAGCGTTTTATGATTTTGTGGAACTGGAATATGTAGAATGATTCTGCATAAGAAGAAGACAGGAGCTGCGGTGCTGGCTCGATTGAAGGTGTACGAGGGTGTTCCTCCGCCGTATGATAAGGTGAAGCGGATGATTATTCCTAATGCACTCAAGTAAGTTTACTGCTACATCCTCTCTCTCATTCATAAAAAGCTTTAAGCCTCTCTACCTTTTGATGTTTTTTGGTTAGTTTAGTACATGATTTGAAATTATGAATTGTACATAGGGTATTGAGGCTCCAGGCTGGGCACATGTACTGGCTGCTGGGTAAGCTTTCATCTGAGGTTGGTTGGAACCACTATGACAGCATCAAGGTAACTTATTGAAGCGAGTAAGCTCATAGCTGTTGACGAAGCGAGTACGCGATGATTGACGGCCGATTGAGCAAAGGTTGAAAGGGCACAAAAATATTTCACAATAACAGGGCGTTTGGTTGGAGGGGGGAATTATGTGGGAAATGAATTATAATTCCATGGGAGTTGAATCACTGGGAATAAAGTGGGAATTTAAATTCCAGTGTTTGGTTGACAGGAATAGAATTACTGGGAATTTCAATTTCAATGTTTGGTATACATGGGAATTGAAAGGGAATAAGTAGTATAAAGTCAAAAATGTCCATTATTGTTGTTAGACATTAATTTTAGGTTAAAAATGGAAGGGGTAATTTTGACTCATCACTATCTTTTTTTTCCCAGGAATTAAAATCCCGGGGGGGGGGGGGGGGGGGGGGGGACATGAGATTTTAATTCCATGAAAATGGGGGAATTGCAATTCCCTCCAACCAAACTACGGAATTTAATGGCCTTTAGAATTAGGTGGGAATTAAGTGGGAAGGAAATTTAAAATCCCTCCAACCAAACGCCCAGTAATATTCTAAATCATCAATTAAAAATGGAATGGAAATTAGGTAAATTGAGAAAAGAAATGAATATTAATAATTGATTGAAAATCAAAAATGAAAAAAATGATTAATTGAAAAATGAAATGAATATTAATGATTGACTGAAAATAAAAAAATGATCCATAATTGACTAAAATGGAAAAGGAAATTGTCAGATCATTACATTTTAATTTTCACAATAATATTACATAGTTGGTAGGGAATATCCCGACCGACATAGTGCTGTCCCGACCGGTGTGCTTTCGTCCTTTTCTTCTTGTCTTTGCAGGTAACAGGTCGGGTTTCTTGTGAAAGACCCGGTCGGTTTCCGACCGGGAGTTACCCGAGCGGCAGTGTCGACCACCAAGCGGTAGCCCTTTGGCGAGAGAGCTGACAAGGGACACGTGGCGGCTCTACACGTTGACAGGCAGGGCACCCGGGAAGACGACATGTGGTGGCTACGTGGGAAGCATGCCGAACGGCCGGATTTGTGTCTCCGGCTCCGCGGCTATAAATACCCGCGATAGCGACAGTGTGAGGGACTTTTGGACGATCGATAGGTTGTTGTTAGAGAATCCCGACCGCAGTCAGTCGGTACTCAAAGCAACCAAATAGATTGTACTTAGGGCCTTCATTGATCAATAAGAGTTATTTACTTGCTTTAATTGGTCTCTTATTTATTTAATTACCGCTTATGTGGCAATTAACACTATCATTTTGGCGCCGTCCGTGGGGACCGTGCAAGAAAGCTATCGTCTTGACGAGCACCCGGTTTCTCATCAATCATGTATCCGTGGGCACAAAACCTCTTTGCTGATGACCAAGCGGATGCAGCGAGTTCATCCGACCACCAGTCGACGCAGCAACAAGGTCAGAATATGGACCTCAACCTCAATCTCTCACCACCCCATCCATCCAATACATACCCGGCCGCCCAACAGCCGGTGAACTACATCTAACCGGGATACCAAACACCCGGTCCGCAGTACCAGCAGCAGCAAATGCCGTATCCCGGCCCGTATCCATACCCGGTCCCCCCTCAACCGTACGGGTATTGGCCAGGCCAACCGATGTATTACACGCCCCCGGTTGGCTATCCACCCTTCACGCCTTCATACACGGCTCCAGCCGCCGCCCCTCCAGTTTACCCGGCCGCACATGTAGAGCCGCAGCATCAGCCCACTTCCCGGGCTCGACGCTCGGCTCGTTCGCGGTTGGGGTCGGGGGGTGCTGATGCGATGGAGGCACCACGGCAGGCCCAGCAAGCACCGGAGGCTCCAGCCCGAGCGGAGGACCCCGAAGAAGTTGCCCGAGCGGTAGCTTTTGATCATCTTCGACCGGCGATGCGACAACGTTTGGGGCCCCAAGACCCGAACCGGTAGTCGGAAGATGTACAGATGCAGGAATCTAGCCAGGAGGCTTCATCCGGGCATAGCGGGTCGAGATCTCACCGTCGACAACGCGCACGGGACGCAGCCCAAGCTGCCCAGGCGGCCGAGCTCAACGAGACCCGAGGATTGCTCTATAACCTCCAGGCGGAGTTTGCGCAATTCAGGAACGCGCACCCTGCAACACCCCCGGTCGACCAATCGTCCTTGCTCAGGACGCCTTTCACTGCCGAGGTAATGGCTCAGCACTACCCGCTTGATTTGAAGGTCTCCGGGGAAAAAAGCTATGATGGCCGTACGGACCCTGAGGTCCATGTCAACGATTTCTACGGCAACATGATGCTGAAGGGCGTATTAGACGTCGTGATGTGTAGGGCCTTTTACTCCACGCTCACTGGTCGGGCAGCGGAGTGGTTCCGAACTTTGCAGCCGGGCTCAATTGCAGATTTTAACGCCCTGGCGATCAAGTTCGTGAGGAAATTCATCACCTCCAAGGTGGTGAGGAAGTCCTACATGTACTTGGAGAAGGCCAAGCAACTTGAAGGGGAGAGCTTGACCGATTTCCTTGTCAAGTGGAAGGCAGCGGTCGGGGAAGTCGAGCCCATGGACGATGCGACCGCCACCCACATGCTCCACATTTCCCTCCGGGCGGGTTATTTATACCAGGATTTCATCCTACACCCCCCCGGCCACGTATGAGGAGGCCCTTCGAAAGGTCACAGACTATGCCAACGCCGGCGAGGCGAATGCCGTAAAGCGCTCGCAGGAGGTCGGGTCTTCGTCCTGTAAACCGGCCGGCCGGGCGGAACACCGATCGGGTGATGACCATCCCCGATCCCGCACCAGGCCTGGTGAGTTTATGGCCCTGAACCGATCCGTAGCGGAGGCCATGCAGTACGCCCAGTCCTGCAATCTCATCAAACTCCCCCATCCCGATCAAGACGGCCCTGACAAGAGTAAGCACTGTGCTTACCACCGATGTGCCAGGTATGACACTGAAGAGTGTACCCACTTGCGCCAACTGTTGGAGGACCTGCTCAATCTTGGAAAGTTGGACAAGTGTGTGGGGAAGAGAGAAGACACAAAGAAGAATACCGATCGGAGAGATCACCGGCGCTCCCATCACCGTTCCGATCGTTCTGATCGTGAGGGACGCTCCGATCGGTCAGGTCAGGACCGAAGAGACGATCGTCGTGATGACTGACGGGACCCTGACCCTCCATCTAGCAGCCGACCGACAGGAAAGCCTACCATCCACGTCATTTTTGGTGGTTTGGATGACGCTTCCCGACCGAGGAGTGATTGCCCGGTCGCCATAGTAGATTCCCGAGACACTGGGAAGAGGCAGAAGATGGAGCCCATAACCTTCACCCTCGAAGATCAACCCAGCAGCGGTGACCATGGCATGGAGGCGCTCGTGGTCACGATTGATGTCAAAGGGACGGATGTCCAGAGGGTTATGGTGGACACTGGGAGCAGTGTCAACGTCCTTTACTTGGACGTGTTCGAGAAACTTGGACTCGACAGGAAGGAGCTGACTCCGGTCGGTGTACCACTGTCGAGATTTACCAGGGCGCTTATCTACCCCGAGGGAAAAATAACGCTCCCAGTAGAGATCGGCACCTCTCCGAAGTCGATCAAGACGGAGCTGGAATTCGTTGTGGTCAACCTCCATTGTGTCCACAACATTATCTTGGGCCGACCCGCAATCATGAAGATTGGTGGGATAATTTCGATGCCTCACCTGTGCATGAAATTCCCCACCCCCAATGGGGTCGGTGTGGTCCGTGGCGATGTCCAATCCGCCCGGAAGTGTTACACCCGAGCGGTCAACAGACGTGACTCCGGTCAGTCTTCCCGGGTGAACACTATTGCCAAGGAGGAATCTAAAGACCGGAAGGAACAACCCGAGCCTTCCGAAGAGATAGAGGAAGTTCCCCTGTCCGAGGACCGACCGGACAGGAAGATCAAGATTGGTCGGGCCCTTACCCCCGAGCTCCGAGCGCAAGTCCTGGCTATACTCCGAGAGTTTGCGGACATCTTTGCATGGGGGCCCGAAGATATGCCCGGGATCGACCGAACGGTCATCTGTCACAAGTTAGCAGTCGATCCCGCTGCAAAGCCGGTCGTGCAAAAGACCGGGCATCTTTCTTCCGATCGCCGCGAGTTCGTCAGAAAAGAGGTCAAGAAGATGGCGGCGATCGAGCACATCCGACCGGTGATTTATCCCGAGTGGGTGGCCAACATTGTTCTTGTTCCAAAGCCCCCAGCTTGGAAGATGTGTATTGACTTCACCGACCTCAACAAGGCCTGTCCGCTCGACCCGTATCCTCTACCGAGTATCCATCACATGGTCGACGAGACGGCCGGGACCGAGTTGATGAGCTTCATGGACGCATTTAAAGGCTATCATCAAATAATGATGCACCATGAAGATGAGAGCAAGACAGCCTTCGTGACCCCGGACAGGCTGTATTGCTACCGAGTGATGCCGTTCGGCCTCCGCAACGCGGGAGCGACCTATCAGAGAATGGTCAATATGATCTTCGCCGATCTGCTAGGCTGAACGATGGAAGCTTACATTGATGATATGCTGGTCAAGAGTCGAGATCGATCCGACCACACTCGGGACCTCCGGGAGTGCTTCCAGAT